GTCTTGGGGGCCTTTCCGGGCCAACGGGGGGCCCTCTTGGGGCGCTTCGGGGCCGTCTTGGAGGCCATCTTGGGCGTCTTGGAGGCCATCTTGGGCGTGTTGGAAGAGAAGCCTCATTGGGAGAGGTGTCTATCGCTTTCTAGCAGTGGGCTGCCTGAGATTTCATAGGAATCCCATGATCGCAATTTCCCTTTTAGATTCAGAGACGGATGTGATCGACCGAAAAGGGGTTGATGCAGGGAGCTGGCTCGGCATGCATGCTGGCAATAATCATTGTGGAAGATGGTTTCATCTGCGCCCTTGAAAATATTTGTGGGACATCCCTGGGTATCCATTTGAGAAGCGAGACCTTGTGGATTGACTTCTCGCTCTCCCTCCTCGGTTGGTCAGGCAACATCTGCACGATAGGTTCTAGCTTCGAATATCTAACTCGGCCCGCGAATGTCCTCGAAGGGTCTCTCTGGGAGTTGCATCATGAAGCTCGGTCTCAAACCAGACATGGAAATTATCGTCTCCCATCCCCGCGCTGTCGACAGCTACGACAGGACGGATGCATGCGTTTCTCATTGGGCTGTCGTCTCTAAGGCTAGGTTTCTCGGTCTCATTTGGCCTTCTAACGGATCATGTAATGCGGATGTTCGTAGGGGGCTTCAGCAGATTAGTAGCGTGTTCTGGTACACTAGCAAATTTCGGGTGACTGACAACATTCTCATGCGTACACGGCTTGGGGGACTCAACAGTATGGCCTGTGGCATCATCAAGTCGAGAGGTGCTGCTTGGGTTCCTTCTAAACATACTTCGGGTTTGATTTCCCAAACACAGAACAAACTCATTAAACTCATGATTCAAACGAAAAGACAGTCTGGGGAGACTTCTGATCAGTCTAACCATAGGAGTGGTAGGACAGTCAAACAGTACAGGGACGTCTGCTGGGCATTGGAATCAGCCACTAGCTGGCTTGCATACATGCAGAGGCACCCTGAATACCGTTCCTCCAGGCTTTTTCGTTATTGTAAACACTGGGTTTCGGAGCATCGGTGTTTTGATAGCCCAGGAGGTAGGCGAACCAATTCCAGATCTCACGGGGGCCGTGTTTTTCGATGCGATTATAGTTCTTGGACCTGTCGTCTCTCTCCTGAGGGCTGTCGAGACAAGAAGGTTCGTCATCAACTGGCTCTGGGCATGTAGGATTTGGTTATGAATTCTCAGATCTCCTCTTCTCAGTAACTTTTCGGCTCAAGTATGCGCTTCGCTTTTGTGCTATTATTCAGTCCGCCTCTGATCAGAGGCCTCATCACCACAATATCTTCTTCAGCAGATCCACTTTCTCCCGACCTAGTCGAGGGCTGGTGTCAAATCGCTCCCACTGTTACTCGGTGTTCTTCTCTAATCGCACCCACTTCTCCCTTGGGTTCTTTCGATCGCAAGGCTCTGGGCCGTTGAGCATTCAATCGCACAGTGGTTTCAGATGGCAAGGAAGGCAACGATGGCATTCCTTTGGGTGTGGCTGAGAAGCAGAAGCTTTTAAACGACAAGCTGGAGGAGTGCAGGAATACCATCTTTGAGTCCACTACGAAGTTCCCACCACCAGTTTTACCCAAGAGCCCTCTGCCTCCACCTCTGCCGGCTGCGCCTGTTGCCAGTGAAGAGACTCCGAGGAAGTCCGCCGGCAGGAGCCGCAGCAGATCGCCGATTGCAAGGTGCAGAGTGGAACCAGGAGGTTGTGGCCCAACAGGAGGGGGTGCTGGCTCCCCTGGGGGCAAGAGCACGCCCGCTACACGAGACCACGAGTCAGCTGGCCATGCTCACGCTCAGAAAGACTCTTCCAAGTGGGGAACACATGGGGGGCCAGCGGTTCAAGCTCTACCGATTCCAGCGAAGAGTCCGCGGGTGCTAAAGCGATTCCCAGGCCTCGAATCCCACCAGCCAAACCGTGGGAGCACTCCGTGATGCCGTGGATCAGCCCGATTGACCCGCCCATTCTCAAGTCCCAGATCTGGAAGGATGAAGATGGCTGTCCGATATTTCTTCCTTCAGATGGGTTGGATTGCGATAGAGTGGACAGGGGGGATTGTATTCTAGTCTTCTGTCCTCAACTCAACGTTTCTGAGTTTTCCCGCTCGCGTGGTGCTGGGTCAGGCTTTGTTTGCACCGTGAAGGAACTTGCCCCTTTTGTTGTCGACAATCAAGGCTCTCTTTCCAGCAGCTTGGGAATTCCTGCCCTCGGAGAGAAGGATTTCCTGAGGGCCAGCGATGTCCTCTACGTTCTTCATCGCTATGGGTTCGCCTTTGCGGAGCGGTCGCAGGGGAAGCTATGCGGCTGCTCCTTTGAGAAGCGACGAAGCCAAAGAGGTTGGCTTGCATTTCCTCCCCTATGCTAGATCAGTGAGCAGCTCCCAGAATATTCAGGGCGGTGAGGTTCTGGTCCTACTGCTCAAAATGGGAGGGGTGGAAGGTGTGAGCGTTCTGAATTGACTCTACTGCGGCTCTCGGGACGCGC